TGCTTTGCAAATAAAGATGATTCAGGGGTCAAAACTCCTAATCATCCCTTCTTTATTTATTTTTTTTTTTTAGAGCAAATTACATACAGGTGAATGCATACAGGTCATTTATTTTACTCCGGGGTTTTCATTTTATATTTAAAATAACTAATGGGACATCTTTTCTTCTTCTTTTAGGGCCCTCCTAAGTCAACGGCCCTTAGAATCATCCTAATCGTCCTACACCTATACAAACCTTTTCCACTGTATTAAATATTTCTTTGCAAAAAGAAAAAAATATATAAATTTTCTTCCAAATCAAGATTCTTAGACCTTGAGTATTGCCTCAACATCCCTCTGTCATTGGGTAACATCTTTCCTATAAAGCACTGTGTGTTTTTGATTAAACTGTGCCTAGAGCTTTAAATGCCCAAACATTTGAAACAGATTTTTTCATCATGTGCAGAGCTGTAAGGTGGTCCCTTGTGGCATTAGATTGTATGATTTTTAAAAGGTGGCTGGTCATCCTGATGAAGCGAAGTGCGTCGCCTGAAGCAGTAACCAGCTGCAGCCTCATCTGGCCTAAATTAGCTCTAAAGAGCCCCCACCACAGTGTTGCAGGAATTTTGGTACCTGGTAAAATTATTTATAAATCATTACAGATAGGACACAAATAATTTGCTGAGTGATGGAGAACACAAATAGTTACAACAAGAGATTCAGTTTTCTAAAAATATTAACCTAACTACAGTTTTTAGTCTTATATTATTGCATTTGCATATTTTATTTTATTATTTTTTTCAAATGAGGACACTTCTTCTTATGCACTGCATAGTATTTGTCTAAGCAGGACATTTTGCAGTCAGAGTTGAGTTCCCCTCTTCTAACCCTGTCAAACAAGCGACCAACGTCAGTCAAAATAAACAGGTAGTCTCGCGTTGATTAAAGACATTTCACTCTCCCTGCCCTGCAGTTATTCACATTGCTATAGTTTTAATGAGAGCAAGAGGAGGCAGCCTGGCCCTTGCTGACCTCTGTAAGGGCCGCCTCAGTGACGGGGCCAAACAGTTAGAACCCAGGTCTGGTGTGTTTCCAAAGGAAACCTAAGCCCTGAACAGAAACTCTGATAAATTACTTAAATATTTGGATTTCATTAGGCTATTGATGGTATCTCGCTAATAAGAGACTAAAGTGAAAACCTGTCATTATGAATGTTTGTATTATTTTTTATGGGTATTATTATTTTTAAACACAGAGGCTGTAAAACTCTTAGAAAATTTTGGTAAAAAAAAAAAAAAGAACCTTTAAAAAAGATCTGATGGGGCTCACAGTAGATGGTTAAATGCACAAGATAGTTACATATACTGCACAGAAAGTCTTTTAAAGCTTTATGTATTTAAATCTTCCCTGTTTTAGAGTTACCAAAGCACCTTCTTATTTTATAGGCCAGAATGATGAGATAGAAGAAATAGAAAACATTAAAAGAAATGTTCTTACATTTTTTTCAAAGCAAAGGGTTAACACACACAGGGATCATCACTATGCTTTAGTACAGGCTGCCAAGTAAGGAGTTTGTAAGCTTCTGATTTGTATCTGAGGGCAAAACCTTAACAGACTAATTTCTTCCTAAATGTTGTTGTAACTGAATCCTGTCATATTTGTAAATATAAGATTTTTTTTTTTTTTTTTATCGCTAGGTGTAATTTACCACAGTGGCAGACTGAGCTGTTTTAAATCTTTGGGTTTGCTGCTAGTTTCTGGTAATTTCACCTGACTTCTTCCTCCTTGCTTTGTAAACTTGAAATTTGGTGCTTCCTGTTAAAGTCGACAGATGGTGATCCAAAATCTTCATGTTTGAAATTCTAATCAGGTTTTAATTCATGTATTAGGATCCAGTAGTCACACAAATTCTTTAGGGAAGACTAATACTTGGTTCTTGGCCTTTTTATATCAATTATTTGCTTATTAATTAGTAAACATTTGACAATTTACTGAAGTGAATGTAGCAGAATAAAGAGGCACTAATAAGACTTTTCCTGACACAGCTTCACTTCCTATTTCTTTTTAGATCTTATCTCACACATAGATTTGTATAAATGTTGCTTTATTTTAAATGCTACAAGCTTTATCCATAACAGAAAGGTTCCCTGGTAGAAGTAGAGGTCATGAATCAAGCAAAAAATGGATTACAGAATAATCTCTATTAATGCATCAAAGCATTAGTTCCCTGTTCATCTGATTTTTACTTAAATCTTAAAATCTTAAATCATCACAGAACTGGTCACCTGTTAATGCATTTACAGTGTTTTCAGTTTTGATGCATTGAATGAAAATAAAAAGAAAAACAACAAAGATCTCTTCATCAATAATTTTGCTTGTGCAAATCAGTATATGATTGCAATAAGACCTACCAATGGATGAAAAGCATTAAAAAAACTTAGTTTCTCTATTTATTGCTTTCTTCTATGAAAAGTATCAAAACTTGAGTCATCCAAAGGTCAGACAAAAGCTCCAGGGATGAGATAGTGAAGATCAAATAAATGCGTGGCCTAAATGAAAAGGCCTCTTAAGTCCTTATTTATGTTCTGTTTGCCTCTTTCAGTCAGTGTGACCCTCTTTGTTCCCCTGATAAGACCTCCCCCATGTAAGGCCAGGACAGGAGCTGAGGGCTCTGAGGGGAGAGGCTGCTAAGCCAAGTGTGAGCGAGATGTGTATCGTTTAATTGGACAGGGCAACTTACTGACCTACGACTGAGCCAAAAGCCAACTCCAAAAGCTTTGCGTCAGCTCTGTGTTTATGGCCCTGAATTGAGATAAAAGAGACAAAAGAGGCTGAGCGAGATGGATGGCAGCGAGGCTTTAAGCAGGATGAAACAAAAGGAGGGTAGACGATTGGGTTGCTAACTTTTAAACGGCAATCTGTTCATGCATAGTTGCTCTATATAACGATAACAAAAAGCAATGCACCATCTCAATGGACACTCTTAAATGCTTGACACGCTGCAGCTGTCACCGGACTGGCCCCTGGAAACGATCAAAGTGAGGGGATTTCCTAGAATCACTTTTCAGAAACAACATTTGCCTCTCAGTGAGTCAGACAGAATCCGTTGCCTCGCAGTGTTTGCCTGGAGGACAGAGCAGAGACGAGGCAGGCTTTAGAGCAAACACACATCCGACACAGAGCTCCATGGAGATCCTATTTGGTCAGTGTTAGTGCAACACTAAGTGCATTTGAGTCAGTATTGGTGCAGAAATATAACACAACCAAAATAAAATAAGTTATTTTTCTAACAGACTCAGCCATTTATACAGCAACAAGGTTATTTTCTTTTTCAAATAATGAGCAACCCAACAGTTAGATAACTAAATGAGCTCTAAAAAATAACGTTATCTCTTAAAGGAGCAGTAGGTAAGGAATTAATTGTAAAATTAATTTGTTAGCACGGATGAAAAAACATTTCCTAAAGACAAACAGTCCTTTCCATCAACAGCATCTTAGTCCATTTTTGTTTCTTTCAAACTTATGCAGAACTACTTTGTTTTTTCGATGTGAAGCCTGTGTTTACTTCCTGGCTCCTGAGCCAAACATATGCAAATTCCCAGGAAGCCAGAAACAGAAGCGGAAAAGAAAAGATACCTCGGCATCCTTCAAAACGATTCAAAAGATTTATAACCGCGTACGATTTTTTTTACTATACTATTCCGTTAAAATAAGTCATTTTAAATCAATGTGCTATACCAGAGATTTTCAAACTCTCATTTTATTTTTTTTTGTTGAAAAAGTTCCATATTAGTTTCTGTAACAACCACAATAAGTCTGATATTTCTATGGCATTTAAAAGAACCCGTCATTTGCAAAAAAAAAAAAAAAAGTATTTTTGGGCTTGAAATTTGTAAAACTGAAATCTGGTTTCCTGGGTTTATGTGAGAACAGCTGAGTCCTGCCTCCCATTTTTTTTACAGATAATTGAAGAGGATAAACTTTTTCTGTCAAACTACATTTTTACAGCTTTGCAATTCAGGTTTTTGCAAACACAATATTCAGCTTTGCCTTTTAGGGTATAATAGGTATAAGATCATGAAAACCATAAGATCCGCCTTTCTTCCTGAAAATTATGTAAGTTCATGAAGGTTACACGCTACATTTTCACTGACTGTGCTCATCGTTGCAGCTCCTTGTTTTCCAACTTTTAAATGTGAAATGATGCATACATATAGAAGAAAAACCTGACTATGAATGTATGTACTGTATGTACTTATGTATTCAATGTGTAGATTGAATGAAAAAATATGGTCTCCAGACAAAAATTTATTTCTTTACTTTTCAAGTTCCATTGGTGCTTTTCACTTCAGATAAATCAGTTATATTTAAAAACAGTTTGTGTCTTAGAGTTAAATCCTATTTTTACTTTCCTTTATTGATTGCAGCATAACAGAAGAATTTTTAAACATGTCTGCACTCTGATTCCTCATGTTGGAGGTTGTTTCTTAACATTTGATGTAACACTTTGCCAAGTCAAATCTTTTCTAATTCTATTATGACTTTACTGCATCTGAAGAGATGATACATTAAAACTGAGCCACAACAAATAGCTCGTTTCTGCAGGATGTTACAGATATGTTAGGGTTTGCATGCTTTAGTTCCATTTATTTTGTTGAATATTGTGCAGAACTATGGCAAATAGATCCAAACAGTTGCAAAATGTAGAGTTTGAGTTTCCTTTCCTGCGTTAGTTTTGTAATTAATAAAAAAAATAGACTGATGTAGATATTACTTTTTACTATCCACTTAAATGACAGTGTAAAGGTTGGACCAGGAATGAGAGAGGAGGTGTTGATGTTCTTTTAGCGCTTCTGACGAAGAGTATGGAAACTGGAAGGATCACTATTTAACAGAAATCAAACCTAACAAAGATACAAACTATCAAAGGATTTGTTTTTTGCAGGTATTTAAATACAAAAAGAACAAGAAGAACATCACTAACAATCTGTTTACTGGTTTCTCTCTCTCTTTGTCTTCAGGAAGCTGACTCTAAACTGGGTCCTGACCTTTGTTTTGCTGCTGGCTGCTCCCGGCTCCCTCGCCTCCCCGCAGAGCGTAAGTCCAGCCCTCCCACATCAACATCCCTCTCTGCACAGCCTTGATCAAAAATAACTCCTGCTAAACTAACCCTGAGAATAGCTCGTCACCTCAAGTTCCCTTGAAATGACCTCCAACAAAAACTTTCACACAGTAGAGTAGAGTTTCTGTTCAGCCTGTCTGATAATAATGCTTTACGTCACTTCAGACATGAACCAAACACAACCAATGTGTTTACTACTTACTCAGCCTATTAAATAAGATTCATCAGTGACATTCATCATTCTGAACAAATTCTAGGCATCGATTGCTGTAAGTAGCATTATATAAAAAAAATATTTTATTCTGTTTTCTTGTTCTTTAAATGTCATCATCTTAGAAGGAATCAAACAAACTTCATGAGAACTTGTTGATATCCTACACATCAAATTGAATGACAATTCTCTTTGTGTCTAATCTAATGATTTTATAATCTACTAAGGTAACTGTTTGAAGTAGTCCCGGGGATTACATCTAACTTCCTATTGTATCATTCTGTGTTGTACTGTAGATACAGCAGACTATACTGAACCCTTGTTGAAACCACAGTTGTGATTCTTCAGTCCCTTTGATCAGTTGCCACTTTTCCAACCCTCCTTAATCCTGATTAAATTGTTTCATTCTTATGAGTTGAATTACCCATTTTAAGATGGAAACCCCAATATTCTCTGACATTTTACTCACAGTCACTGTCTTTTTCTTATAACTTACTCTGTGATGTTTAGTTTTCTATGCTGAGGCTTTGATATCTCTCTCTGTCTGTCTTTGTGTCCTTTTTACAATCCTTTAATTTTCTTTTAACTTACTCTAAAAGTTGGACATGCCTGAGCTGGAACATGTCTTTCCACACATGGTGTCCCATTTATGCAGCTCTCTTGCTAGCAATCAAGATACTGGTTTAATATAAAGCTGAAACAGTTAAATATTTTTTTTATTTTATACTAGGCTCTTTTATACATTTTGAATTGATGCAATAAAAAGACATTTAAAGTTTTTGTAAATCAAAAACAATAACTGCACTGTTGCTGACTTGAAATTAGATTGATCGGATAATAAAACCTTGATAACTAATATGCAAATAGGCATTAGTTGCTGAATTACATAGTGCAAACCGTTGCACCACCAGGGCAACCGTTAGGCATTGTTTTTTACACTTCATAAAATTGAGGCGTTCAGAGTGAATGAAACGAAGATGGAAAAGAAATGGCCTTCCTTGTGCCTCCAAACCAATGGGCATGTAAACATTTTCATTAAGTTTTTGCGATCATGAGATGCCATTTGCTGCAGCTTTTGGACTAGAGAGTTCAGGATTTTTACAAATTTTACTGTTCTCATCACTTTAACTGGAGACATGAGAATCATGGTTCTTTTTCCAGTCCTGTTTTTCAGTTTGTTGTTTTATATGAAATACAATTTTTCTGTGGACAGGTTTACGTCACTGGGTTAATTAACCATTTCCTGACTTAAATCAACATTTGGCTTCCAAACCTACCTGAATGTTTTTTTTGTCTTTCGCCTATTGAAGACTTTCATAGAGAAACGTGCTGCTTGGTTATGCCAAATTCATACTCCAGGAAAACAAGAGTTAATAATGTGTAAATAATAAGCCATAGCTTTACATAAAAATTATTATATTTCATAAAATTAGATAATTTTGCTGCAGGGATGTTAGTAAAAATAGTTATTTAGGACCTTCCACTTAATAACTTTATAGTTTACCGTTTCTGAAAAATGAATAAAGGAGAATTAATTGTGGGGTGCCTTCATTGATATATAAAATATTCCAGGAATAAAAACAGTGATCTTCTAAAGTGACAACATATCAAACACACTTGAATGAATTATTAAAAAAAAAAAATCTGTAATTTTATGATACATGTATAAAAAATGTAAGTCTGCTCCAGCTGTTTAGGTGTCTTCATGACTCTGAAGACCAGCAGAGTCTAAGTCCGGGAGAATGCTGATCTGAAGCATTTACCTTTACTCTTGTTTTTTCCCTACAGTTCACTTCATACATTTTTTTTCTCTCTCTATTCTGAGGAGGGGGAAGGAGTGAACTGTTAAGGTCAGGGGTTGCTTTCATTAATCTAGAAGGCCAGCTGCCCCCATCTTCAACCATTATCAACGCTAATTTGTACTGGAGTACCACTAATGAGGGCAACCTCAAGAGACCCTGCCAAGGAATTACAGGGAGTAGTTGCAAAGGTTGGTTTCAGCTCAGTGTGTGTGTGCACAATGAGTCACAAAGTCAAAGAGCCTCAATTAGTTTGGCTCTTACTTCTTGGCTTTAACATTCATTTTAAAGTCTGTCAGTTAAACTAACCTGATTTTACTGTGAAAGAGTTTTGTTTGGCATAGATTTGTGAAAATTTTAAATTTTATGATAACTTAAAGCAATAATATTAAAAAAGCTACTAAAAAGTTGGACCCAATGAATTGAAGTTGAATGGAAAATAAAGCATGGCCTATCCTAGGCTGGGCTGATTGAGAAATTATGGACCAAGATCAAATACAGATGAGTGGTGGAAGGAGTGCTTTAAAACACCCCCTTGTTGACATTGTCCATTTCCTTAGGAGTACTGGAAGTATTTATAAACAACTGAATCGCATTCGCCTAGAGAACTGCCTTTTCAGGGTGGGACAGTGTGGTTATTCAGATTTTCTAAAAAAGACCAAATTAATTTGTTAAAGCTATCAATGGCTCACATTCCTCCATTATAACCACATCAGGAATTGACATAGCTAAGCCTTTGAAAGCAAAGTGTCTTTTTCTTTTGCAAATGTGATTTTGTTTGCATATTCAAGCACAGACCTTTTTATGTAGAGGGGCTTAAACCGAGTCCAGTATTAGACTTCTGGTTGACAATTTGTCCCTCGGAGAGGAGTTTTTAATCATTTTGTCTTGGTAACATGATGTTTACATGGAAAAGACTGTGTCATTTCTTTGGTATTTTCTTTAAGGAAGAGGCTGTTTATTTTTTCATTTTGTGAATTACTTCTTTTACTGTTCAAGAATTTTCAGCTCCTTATATTGTCATGAGATATTAATCGTTAGCAAAACATCAAAATTCCAGATACAAGTGGCTGTTATGAGCTTCTGTGGTCTACCTTATACAGGTTGGAAAACTTGTTAACCTAACCTGGTAGAGGAGTTGGTGCCTCTCCATTTTAAAAAGAATCAGTAGTTCCATTTACATTTCAATTGCAAAACTATGTTGATATTGTGCTATGGAGGGGACCCCTGGTTTTATAGTTTAGTCCGAATCCAGAGGGTGAGAATTATTCCAGCTGGCCGGTTGCCAATGCAGCGCAGCCGTTGCTGCAAAATTAGTTTAAGACACTGATGTATTGGTGGTCGGAGGATAGGCAGTTGATCAGAACCGAGCAGATGAATGTAGGCAGGATAATCCAGAGGGAGGAGCCAAAAGCGATTTCGGTGACAAGCTAGGTTTTCAGAGCTAGGAAGTCAATTCAATTTCAATTCATTTTTTTATATAGCGCTAATTCACAACACATGTCATCTCAAGGCACTTTACAGTTCACCAGATCATTCAGTCAAATTGATTGAAAGTTTTCTACCTAAGGAAAATCAGTTGCAAATAAGAAAAAACGGGTAACATGATCCTCCACCGCAGTTCCTAGTCTTTCTTAGCCTATATTTTTTTCACCTGTATTCAATTCCAATCATCCTCCTCTGAAATTGCACCAGCTTCCCCGCTGAAGAAAAACTCCACAGCATGATGCATTCCAGGGATAAAAACAAAAAATCAACTTCTGATTAATTGTCAGTTGGTGGTTTATTAGGTTGAATTTTGCATTGATTGATTTTGTCTGCTTAGAAAGAATTTCTTTCAGCTGTTATATGTGGATGCACTGTATATATCCCATGCACCTTTTTCTTCCTTTGGCACATTCTTCTCCTTTGACTATATGAGCTGATGTAACGAGTAAATTTCAATCAGCCAATCAGCCAATAATGTTACGCCATCAGCTAGAGGGCGCTGCTGATCATTCCTGAAGACAAAGCGGTCTCCTGTATTTGCAAGAGAACTAATGCCTGAGCAAAGGCATTCTAGAGCAGAAACAGACCCGGCTGCAGAACAAATTAAATTATTTTCAGGGGGAAACAAAAAGTGGCTCTATGACTCCTCCTGCAGTGCTGAAAGAATAAAATATATCACTAGAATACCAAAAACCAAACAATAAATTGTGTAATAAATAAAAAAAAATAAATGTAAATATATAAATTGATGAACATGAGCACTGATGTCAGGCTGAAATAATCATTCAGACCAGGAGAGTTAACTTTAGCAACACCACTGGGCAATGCACTCTTTGTCACACTTTTATTAGGAAATCAATTCCAGATTATTGTTTCAGAAACAAATATGCTAAAAATTGCTTATTTCCCAAAGCTGCAAAGGCAATAATCGCCCTGCTGGCAGAGACTAAACATCCTGAAAATTCACTACACCTCCAGCCCAGTTCATAAATTGTTATAACACCAGCTGCATTTTGTGTAAATGCTACATACTAAAATCTATGAACATGTGTTCTTGATTTTCAGTTTCCTCTAAGGATTTTAGTTCTTCATTTTTTTAAACGTGTTATTAATCTATGTCTGTGTGAAATACATGTATTTAGAGCTGGTGTCTTCCAGAAAACTGATTTTATGGAGACATACTAATAAAGACTGACTGATTAAGCTAGGGAGCATATGGATCAGATCAAAGTATTATCCCTCTGTAAGTAAGAAACCCAGGTTTGTAAATGTTTGTGGGGGCTCAGAAAAAGAGGTAGAAATACATATCATTAAGTTTTTTGTTGGAAGTTGTTATAACTCTAATGTCAAATGTCATCACTCACATTTCTTCCATCTGCCTGATTTACACCATTTGCTTCTGGCTACGGTAATTACTCACCAAGAAGAAATGTTTACTTTATTGTTGAATTAAAATCTTAGCCTCAGACAAAATGAATCGCCTGCTTCCTGCTGACTCTTGTTTGCGCCATCAGCACTTTTGAAATGAATCTGCATATTTGTGTTGCACTAGCTACAGCGACCATAGCCGCCTCAGTGACCCACCCCTCTCTATCTGTAGGTGGTTAGCATGTCAACATGTCTTTTTGCTTGGATTGGTTGAATTGTACGATTGACAAATCAAAGATAGAAAGTTGGCCACTCCAGACTAAAAAAAAAAAAAAAATCCTAATAACTTACTGTATACACTTTCCAGTTCAGGGTGTAACTGCCTGGACTGAGCAGAAACTTAAATAGATTCAGAATCCGTTCTGGGATTATTTACACTGTTTTATGGTGATAAGTATGTGGAATTGACTTAATGCTGTGCTATTTTTTATATATAAACACCTTAAGGTATCATCTAAATAGCCCCCATTTAGCCATGCTGCAGGACAAAGCAGCATAATTTCTCTGCTGTATTGGAAAGAGAATGTGCGATTATAGATAAGTGGCCGGCATTACGCAAAACGTGATAAAGGAAGACATTCCATCTATAAGCACAGTAGATGGGGAAAGCTTAATGCGTTAATGCACTTCACTGATGCAGGTGTAATTAAGCTGTCTTTAATCAAACCACCAATTTAAAGGTGCTGCAAACAGCTCGAAGCCTCTTCTAGCACTGATTGCTGAATTATGCTAGAATAGAGATGTATATATCATACTTACTGTCCAGTGGTAATAGTCTGACAGCATGTCTCTGTCGATAATAACTTAATATCTCTTCACTCTGGTCATCATAAGTGTTTTACATACCGTATTTTATTATTTTGCTTTACCCAGTAACCTATTGAATAATTCACAAGAAAGCATTTCTTGTCTATTTAGTAATTATTAAATACAGCTGGCACAATAATTGGTTAAAATACATTTATGTACTACTTATTTTTTGCAACATATTAAGCAAAAATATTTAGCCATCATGTTAATGGAAAAAACCTGCTGATACAATTGAAAGATCAGCTTTCTAAGGAAATGTCTTATTAGTTGATTGATAATATCAATCAACCTTAGATTTAGTCAATAATAAATAATAGTTCGGAGACGTAATACACCTGCAATTTTCAGCATTTACTCTTTCAGGATTTTTTTTTTTATCTTCCTCTGGTGTAATGGGGTTAGGATTTGGATTTCGCTCAATAACGTTTTTTTTAAGTTTGCACATTGTTGGTTTTAAAGATTTTTTGTTTTGTATTCATTTCTTAAAGATATTGTGGAGGATTTTTGCAGATTTTTTTAAAGGACCCGCCCTCTCCACTTTAAAAAATTGCGTGCGAGAGCATGCGCGACACCATTTCTCCTCGTGCACGCAAGTTTCTGCTTTCATAGCTCATACAAAGTTACGGTGCGCGAACGTCCACCCTAACCCCTAAATCCGTCAATCACTATATAGGGCGGGAACTATATAGTGGACTTTATAGAAAACTAGGTTAACTGACCATGTGGACAGATAATCACTGCTTGTTGCTCCGTAGGTCACGTAACTTTATCTCTACTACGCTGTGCCTGCGCCATCTTTGTTATTAGTCGCCAAAGTCTGGTAGTGACAGCCTCTGGCAACAGTGGGCCGCTGTGACAGCAAATCTCATAATACTTTGCGAGGAGAGCTCTCCACGAAAGCATTCTGGGATATATCTGCTTCTTCTGAGGCCTTTCTTTTCTTCTCATACACTTCGTAGACACTTTTTCCTCTTACAACCCTCGACCATTTTCAAGATCCGTGGGGTGAAAGTTGAGCTTCAATGGCTGTCTGAAACCATAGCGTGCCACGGCTATGCATGCGCAGAAAAAGATAAGTAATTGGACGACCACTCAAGACGGCCTCATGTAAACATATCACCAGAATGATTGACAATTAGGAGGACCACTTATTTAGATGTTTCACAGAGAAGTAAAAGATTGTCCTCTATACCTTTAATATTGTCTGTTTTTTTTTCTGCATACCTGACTCAGAAGCCTTTCAATAAAGGCTTGAAAGAACCTGAGCTGTAGCTGTCCTTGTAAAAACTGTGCAACGAGTTAAATGTGTCTGTTCTTACACTAGCTCCTGTATGAGAATCTGTTGGGATGGCTGCCAGTTTCACTTCTCCTCCAGGGCAAAATCTCTGGAATGTGTTTGAGGAGAACTACTGAGATTTCTCTTAATCACTTTTATTGTTTTGCTCTGCTGATCCTGATCCATCAACCTCACAGGGCTGCTTCGTTATTGTTAGTCCCATCTATGCTTTAAATAGATTTATCTGTCTTAGATTCCTGGCATAACATAAAGCAAGCTTTGTTGGGAGTCATATGGAGGTTCATCAGTACCATTTGTCTAATGCAAAGTGACATCCCGTCAATCTGGCCATAGTATTATTTCCTCATTTTGTCATAGCAGGCTGCTGGCAATTGCTGTTTATGTCATCACAGCTTTAAACATACAGAATGTCACCGCAGACTGATACTGATGAGTGATTTTGAAGTTCTGTGGTTTCTGCAGCTGTTAGTGAACAGAAAAAAAACATGGGTATTTTCAGGTTTTTGTTTAATTGTTTTAAAATATGTTGCTCACTCATGAAAAAAGTATTTGCTTCTTTATAGAGCCCTTTTAAATAGTAGACCAGTCTTTTTTTTTCCATGTAGAAGTGCATTTAATGGTCTGCTTCCAGTCTGTGTCCTGCTGCATAAAATAACTGTCTTAGTTTAGGATCACCAACTGATGACCTGACCCGCTGCTAGACAGCACAATTCATGTTTTCATCGATTATGCAAGTCATGCAAGTCACGAAGCAGCAAAGTAATCTCAGCCCCTGACACTATCACTACCATGTCTGAGTGTTGATGGTCTTTTACAGAAATGCTGTTTTAGTTTTATGTGAGATATAACCGCATACACCGCTTCAAACACGTTTTACTTTTTTCCTGTTCAAAAAATATTTTTGCAAAGCACCTGTGACGTTCTTAGCTGTTTATTGGCTTTGTTTTAATTTTGCCCAACAGTGCTTTGGACTGTTGAAGTCTCCAGTGAAGATAATATTTGCCCTGTCTCCTTTTCTTAGATTTAAATAATGAAATATATCCTTAAATGAGGCAGTGGAGCGCTCCTGTCTTTAAGCTGAAGAAGAAACCATTCCCCCCCAGCACGGTGCTGCAAGTGTGACCCACTATATGGCTTGTATTGAACTGCAAATATATCTTCAATAAATGTCCATTGTTAACAGATTATTCCACCTCTGGAGCTCGTTGACACATTTTGAGTGTTAACTAATTAGGGCAAATTCTGAAGGTAGTTTTATGGCATTGATTTACCTGGGTGAAAACTGGCTGAATACCAGATAAACTAAGCAATCACAGTTTTTATTGGCTTAAATAAAAAAAAAAAAGAACATGTATCATTTGCTTCCCCTTTTTAACACTTTGTTTGTCTCCATCTTTCAAAAAAAACCCAAAATAGGTTACTTAAAGTAAAGTGAGCACATGTTAGGGAATTTACAGGATGGAAATGCCTTTGCAGTGCACCATATGAACTTATATGTAATAAAGAAACCATTGAAAAAATAACTCCTATTATATTATGAAAACCTGTACTGGATCAGACTATTATAGTTTAAAAATTCCATTCTCACAAAATACGCTTTTTATGAAGAAAAATTTTTTTTTTGCAAGCTTGTGGTTAATCCAATAGAAAGTTTTTTCTTAACACATGCACAATTTTTGTTTTTATATATAAGCCTTAGTATGTATCTAGGAATGAAACTATTACTAACCTACCTTTTGACTTAATTGTAAATATAGGCCAAATAACTTCAGTCCTTCAACATGCATGTTAAACGTACAGAAAAGTCATACAATTTGTAAAGATATTTTCATTTGGTCTAGGGGGATGACGTTTTCTGTTAACTTAATGTCTAAAGCAGTAAAGTTGTGTTCATTCACTGTTTCAGGCCTATTGGAGTTCTGTGTGGGGTCCTTCCAGTGACACTATATCAGGACATCCAGGACGTGTACGACGGCAGCTGCATTATAGAAATGAGTGGGCAGCATGGAGCAGCTGGTCTGTTTGCTCTCGCAGCTGCGGGGGTGGAGCTTCTGTACGGACTCGCACCTGCATCACCAGGTACAAAGGTGTCTGAAACACAGAGCATGATGTGAAATTGTGAGAGGAACATTAAATGATCTGTTCTGTTAAGTGTTGTACTTCAGGAGGCGTTTTTTTTTAGAGTTGGAGTTTCCAAAAACTTTAAATATTCTAAAAAAACATCTTTCACTTAGAAACGGTAAACTCACAGCTGTATGTTTAAGGCTAACTTAAGGGATTTTAAGGATAAGCTTTAAACTTGGTACATTTTCTTAATGTCTCCTTGATACTTAAACATACTTTTCTCTTCGCTTTCAGGTCAATCTTTGCCTTTTCTGACCTTAAAATTGTCCAATAAATTTTCACAATTCTTTTTTTCCTCACATCACTGTTAAAATGTTTGTGCCCTTTACAGCTTGCCAGATTTAGCGTTTCTTGCCACACTGAACGTGTTTCAGCTCGTTAATTTTAAAATATGAGAAAGGTTGGTGGAAATTTCTTATATTCAGGCAAAAAGAAAACAAAAGTTTTTTCAGCAGAATAGAATAGAATAGAAGGGAGGAATTCAATTTTTGACATGGATCAGGGCTGCATTTTATGATATTGACCTCGTTTGAATTTGATAAGATTCAGCACCATTTTAAATCTCAGATCCCATGCCCATTTTTTTTTATTACATAAACTGGTAGTCGAAGATGGACTGTTTAAATCTGGAAATAGTTTTAAATACATAATCAAAAGACCACATATCACAAAATTTTATATTGATTTTAAAAAAGGAACTATTTTAGATAAGAAAAAAAAGTGTAAAAATCTCTTTATCAACAGTAGAGTTGGAAACACTGCTTTAAGTCTGATGATTCATGACTCCCAGTAAAGGCTTTAAAACTGACCATTTGTAATGATGAAAGCATTTACTTGACTCAAGGTTAAAATGCTTACTTAAATATCCCTTGTCAATAAACCTTTTTATCTCCACTTGTAAGATTTTTATGAATAAACCTGTTTCTGTGTTTTAGAAACCCAGTTGGTGGACCATGTGCTGGAGATCCAAGACAGTACAAGATCTGCAATACCAAGGTCCTGTCCGCTGAAATGTTTTCTTTCTAAATGAAAAACTATTCTTCAGTATTAAAGGTTTAGAACAATGGCCATGTTTGCTTTACAAATTAGTCTGTTAGGTGTGTTCAGGCAGTGCTTGAATAAAAGTTGAGGTATTTTAAGGTGTGATCTGAGGTTTCCACTGCACCGCTGTGTATTGAACGCAGAGATTTCACACAATTAAACTGTCAGTCTACTTTTTTGTCTGAGATCATTGACTGTGTGTGGGTGTTTTTAGACTGCCATTTCATGTGTCCTTTATTGATTGAAGAAAAAACTAAAAGATGAGTTGGTGCATGTCCAGGCGGCTCTCAATGAGTGAGTTATACCTTCAATATTTTAGCAGAAAAACACATAAGGATTTAGCAGATTTTTCAGACCAAAGTCAAAAATCAAAGTTTGAAATATTTGATACTTCAACCAAGATCAGGCTTTTATATCTTAAAAAGCAGTTAAGATTAAAGTTGGACAGACAAATGCATGAAGGGGAGGGTAATCAATGAATTGATTATGGTGGTTTCTATTTGAAAAGGGTTATATTTTCTATTTAAAGTATTACTCACCTCGAAATCTTCTTTATTTATTAACTAAACCACCTAAATAGTCCTGTACTACTATTTTAAACTTGTCCCCTTAGAGTTAGTTGGTTCAAAAAGTACAAATACTAGCCGGAACCTTATCGTAACAACCATAATGGGCTCATTGTGAAAGCAGATCCACTGGACTATCATCTAGCTCCAGCACATCAATTCTAATGAGGGGGGTCTCCTTGCAATATTTTCACAGTGCATCTTTGCTTTTGCAGGACTGTCCCCCTGGATCGGAGGATTTTAGAGAGATGCAGTGTGCTGCCTTCAATGATAGACCATTGGTGTCAGGAACCTCCTTCAAATGGACCACATTTCATGGAGGTTAGCTGGAAATGTGGCATCCTAAAGGGACATCTTGGTTTGCATGAGCACAAGTTGGAACATGATTTGAACCTAAAATAACAGAACTTTCATGGCCTAACAGAAGTGTCCTTACTATCTACATTCAGAAGTTCCCAGGCTGCACTTCACTAACAATCAGAATTAATTTCTACATTGATAAATGTCCAGTTCCAGACACTAATTATTTGTACATATGTGATGGCTTTAATTCCCAAGCATTTAATTGCACATGTTAAAAACTTGATATACAGGAGCAATATAAAATTTAGTACAACCAACCCTGTCCTTTTTCTATCAACAATGCTAGAAAGCCTTGAAAGCTTACAGATGTGTGCTGCTGAAGGTGTTATTGTGATTTTATTTTCTGCTTTTATTCTGCCTCCATCCTGTTTCCTGTCATCAGCTTTCTTTTTTCATAAAAACTAATGATTTACTGACTGTGGATTTTCCCTGTTAGGTTCCAGCCCCTGTGAACTCAGCTGCCTGGCTGTGGGACACAATTTCTACTACAACTTTGGTCACGTGCTTGACGGTACGACCTGCAACAAGGAGTCTGGAGCAGTGTGTGTCAACGGACGCTGTCTGGTAAATGAAAACACTCTGGTTACCAAGAGTCTAGGCATCTCATTGATGTTTAGGAAGTACACATTTAGAGTTTAGAATGCTTTTCATATGATTAGGAAATATCCCCCTTTGTAAGTTAAAACAAACATTAACATGTTTGCCTGGTAGTCCAATAATAGAATGAATAACAAGGGTGTAAACTGTGTTTTACTGGTTTAGCCATTAGTTTGTTCTTTTGACTCTCATTAGAAGCTTCTGTACCACACAGTCACAGGATTAAAAATAAAAGAACTTCAGTTTCAAAGAAACTTCAGCTCCGTACAGGATAATACTTATGATAGGATAATCCCAAAAAATCTTTAATAACTTAGACTTTAGGAAAACCAATATGAAACAGTGATATAAAGTGAAGAAAATGAGATTAAAAATGAATTGCTGACTTGCGCTGTCATGGAGATGCATAAACACTAAGCTGCTCTGAATAGTTTGGGCTGAATTGTTCCAGATCACACCCTAGATGTGTTTTCATTTAATTTATCCAGCACATAAAGCCCTGAAAGTTCCTCCCATTGGGCAGGAAAAGTACTGTAGACAGTTGTTACACTCAGTCAGTATAGACCATTATGCAGTAGGCTATTAGGGTTCTCACTTTTATAATAGGATGAACTGGCAATATTTTTTTTATCAGATTAACTTTAGGACATTGTATACATGTATTGTATTAAGAATTTATCAATATTTTAGTCTATTTTATTATTTTAATCCTACTTTTCTGCTCATAAAAGCTCTGTTAAAGTCAGTAATGGCTTACCATTTCAATATTCATATGACTGAGTTGGATCCTAAAGATGTAGTTAAAACAATAAGAGTTATTGGTAACTGGTGAATCTAAAATTTAAGCAAAAACCTTCCACTCTTTTAACATGTTTTTGTAGCCTTTTATTTGATTATTTCATTTAATGAACAACAACAACCTAAACAATACTTTTTTTACACACAAAGGTTTATATGTGATGATGATCTCTACAAGGAAAGAATTGACAAGAAACATTGTTCACCCAGATTCACCAATATTAAAAGGGGAATTGAAGAACCCTGTTCTAGAGAATAAACATATATATGCAGAGAACAGAACAAAATAATAACTCAAAAAAGTAAACACAATGGAATGAGCCTATATGCTTCAACATTTTTGTAAAAAATAAAGAAATAGAAAGTAAATGAATATGAATCGAATCCATCCATCCATCCATTTGGCCAGCAGCCAGCTGGACAGGTCACCACTTCATGACAGGGAAATCGCAAGACCCTTTAAACAATAATAAAAAGCTCTAAATTAATGAAAATGCAAACAAAACAGAAACCTAAGCACTGACTCTCCACACAACAAGTGCTGCTTGTTTCCAGCACTGTTTGATCAGAGAACCTTTTGCTTTCACCATAAAACTGTTTGTTTTCAAATAAATTGTATTTAATTCTGTTTTATTGTTTGCTTTAGATATTGTGTTAATATCTATTGATTACATATTTTCTAACTCAAGTTGTTTGCTTTAGAAAGAGCCCTTAACTTGACTGGTCAACATAACTAGTCACGTTGGGTTGTTTGGCCCTTTTATAAACATTTAATGCCTATGTTTGATCTGGAAAGGCTCCAACTATGAGTCACTTTAAAATGTCTCCTATTCCTAATTAGAAGGCTATTTGTAATAAATTTTAGGTGCAGGTTAAGTTTGGGAAATGTTTGTCTTCACTATTGAGCTGCACTAAGATGAGGTATAACTGATGTTGACCACTCTGACGAGAGCTCTCAGGAAAAGCGAGTCCCACGCTGAGCGTAAGGGCCAGAGTGCACTCATCAGTGTGGACTGCAGCCTTCAGGGAACATTAGCTCAGCTGAGCACAGAGTCCACAGTCCACTCCCAGCAGGTCACCCTCACACAGATGGGGAAGATGGGCAATGAACATGCTTCTGCGGTACAGTATGTACTACTGTAATGCCAGCAGAGGGGACACACAGAGGAACTCTGGGATTATTGTGCATCTGTGTTTACATATGTCAGTGTGTTTGTGTTTTTGTACATGGTTTGTATGGCATTTGGTGTAAATAAGGGGATTTATGGGCCATGGTGTCAGACTGGGAGAGGTCAGAGCAGCAAAGAGCCTGAAACAGGAAGCAGATGCAGCCTCCAGCTGGTGTTTAGGAATACAGGTCAAAAATGAGATCAGCCTGAGAAACACATGGCTGCTTTGGATAGACTGTGACGTTAAAACAAACTTCTCAGATGTGCCCTAAAATCTACTAGCACAAATTTGCAACTATGAACTTCGTCATGTGGGTTTATCACTGAAATTTCCAGATGAAATTCTTTGATTGTAATATGACAAAATACTAAAAATTCAATACTTTTGCAAGGTGCTCTAAATTTCACAATAGGTGTGAAAGTGATTCTGGAAAGGATTCTTAGGTGTACCTAAAACCAGCTGTTTACAGGGTAAACTGGACAAATTTAAGAACATTAGTAGTAAAGCATTTTCCATACAAGTAAAATGTTGAAACTCCTAGCATCCCAGATGATTCCTGTGTGACCCTTCTTACACACGTAAAGCAGTGTGTTCTGTCCAGCAGCGAGATACTCAACATGCTGTAAACCATCCAGCTTTTCCTTTATTGTCTTTAGCTTTGAAATTTGAATTGTTCGGAGGAAAAGAAAACTATCCAACTTCTTTCCCCTTATGAGGCAAAGAGGTCTCCTCCTGTAACTAAAAGTAGGAGATGAGGAAATAAGATATCAAAGAAACAAACGACTCCAGCATCAAGGGAGGACCCTTGGGAGGGTCAAAGCTGAGTGGATAACATATATGACAGAATTACCCAATTTCATTTCTAGAAGAAAGGTTGTCTTGTACTGTCTTTTGTGTTGTGCAGAAGCCTGGCTGCGACTCAATCCTGGGTTCAAAGCAGCAGGAGGATGCCTGCATGGTGTGTGGAGGACACAACACCACCTGCCTACACCACAAGAGTGTGTACCAGAGCAGCAGGCTGGAGGCAGGTAGGACACTCACTCACTCACTCACTCACTCACTCACTCACTCACTCACTCACTCACTCACTCACTCACTCACTCACTCACTCACTCACAACCACATTCATACCACACACCATCATGAAATGTTGTCTCTAAAGAACCCACTGACGCTGTTTTCAGAAAAAGTCAGAGTACATAATTATTGCTCCTTGTTTTCTTTTCACACCCAACAGATATTCTTTCAAGCTTATTTAGCATTGTGTTATTACCTGACTGAGTGAATATTAACCATGGAAACAGTTTTGCAACACAAAGGTGATTGGCTACATTCCCAGAACTACTTTGGATATAAAATGACTGTGGGTGAGATTTCAGGAAGGGAGGAGTAGGAACTCAAAGATCTTCCAGCTATTCTGGCTATGTGCCACATAGATATTTTTAACTTTATTAGCACCTAAAGGCTCAAGGATAATGCGTAGTCTTGATGGCATGTAGTGAGGAAATCTAAATGTATTTTTTTCAGTTTATAATCATATGCAGTAAACCTTGTTTAGTAGGAAATAATTACAGCTTATGGGAAGTACTGATGAATTATTGGCTGTAATATTTATAAGCTTAAGGCATTGGATTTTATAATTTCTTGTAAAGCAAGATATATCATTGTTAAAATGATGACATTGTCTGATAGAGATTATGATAATAATAGCGTTTAATGTTTTTAAGTATTTAACGAAATAGTAGAAGGGAGGGCTCTCCAAGAATTAGCTGCATACAATTGAGGTTCTTAATTATAAAGAGGATGAGTCATCTTTATAAAACTGACTGTGTGCACCATCTTCAAAAGGCATATACACATGATGTGTGAGAAGCTTCAGAAAGTCTGACTTTTATTCTGTAGCGTAGTATCTACAAAATTCTGACCCTACAGAAATGAGACAAGGAACCACTTTATAAATTTGTTAGTTGTGTAGCTGAATTCACATTCCTTTTCGCAAACAGAGACCATGCCTCAAGGATATGAGTTCAAAGGTTTATTGAAGTAAGGAGTTAAAGGATGGTAGAACTTGAAGTAAGGATGAGGTTATCTGAGGAGACAAGTCAAAAGGCTTGGGAGGAAGAGACTGCATGAAGTGGTTCCCTATAGCGCTGCCTTTATCTCTGTGATAGGAGCCACATTAGGGAGGGAGAGTGAAAAAAGCATATTTCACACTTTATCCCAGACAGGGTACAGTTTCAAATATATATATATATATATATATATATATATAAAAAAAAAAAACTCAGCACAAGAAAAGCACATATAACATGAGACAAATATTTCAGCAGAAGGAAAACCTTGGAGGCTGGAGCCACATGTGAGTCAATCTGGTATTTGAACATCAATTGTGTACCTTTTACAGCTGCTTCTTGTATCTCTGCTTCTGTCTCCTTGAACCCCAGTCGGCCTCTGCAGATGGCCGCTCACACTGAGCCTGGTTCTGCTGGAGGTTTCTTCCCGTTAAAAGGGAGTTTTCCTCTCCACTGTCGCTACAAGCATGCTTAGTGTGAGGGATTGCATCCGAGTCAATGAGTCGATGCAATCAACTGGTTTTCCTTAGATAGAAAACTTTGAATCAATTTGACTGTATGATCTGGTGAACTGTAAAGTGCCTTGAGATGACATGTGTTGTGAGTTTCTGGTAGCTGCAGAGTTTTGAATGTACTGAGGCCTCTGCAGACTCTTTCTAGGTATCCCAATGAGAAGTGTGTTGCAATAATCCAGTTTGGAGGAGACAAATGCAAGAACTACCTTTTCGGCATCTGGGAAGGAGAGAATAGGATGGAGTTTGGAAATGTTACGAAGGTGGTAGAAACAGGTCTTGTACAGGGGATTTAAATGGGCTTCAAAGTGAGTTGGGAGTCATTTTTGCACCAAGATTACTAACTGTTGATGAGAACAGGATGTTAGTATCAGAAAAGGTGATGCTGGTTATGGATAATGGTTTGGTTTGGTTTGATGAGGAGTTACAACCAGGATGGCTTCGGTTTTATTGAGTTGAAGATCCATACCTTAATCTCGTCCAGACAGGTGATGAGTTTTGATGATGACATTTACATAGAGTTATATGTCATCAGTGTAGCAGTGGACTGAAATATTGTGGTGGTTGATGATTTGGCCAAGGGGAGTAAGGTAAAGGATAAAGAGGATGGGGCCAAGGATTCACCCCTGGGGGACAACACACGTAATGTATGGGATGTATTCTGTCCAGTTTGTGAGATATGATCTCAACTAACTGAGAGCAGTGTCATTTAGTCCAGTAGTGAGGTGAAGCAGGTTTAAGAGACTGCCATGGTCGACAGTATCAAATGCAGCTGAAAAGTCAAGGAATATGTTGAGGGATGAAGAGCCAGCATCGGATGATTTTAGGAGGTAATTTGTGACTCTGACTAGGGCTGTCTATGTGCTGTGAGCAGAGCCGAAACCTGACTGGAATTTTTCAAAGAGGTTATTATGTTTGAGGTAGTCCTAAAGGTGAGTGGCAATTGCTTTCTCAAGTACTTTTGATATGAAAGGGAGATTTGAGATGGGCCTGTAGTTGGATTGGATTTCCGGATCAAGAGTGTTTTTTTTTAAATAATGGTCTGATAATGGCAGACAAGGGGAACATGGCCTGATTAAAGGGAGTTATTTATACGTATCAGCAGTGATTAGCGGACTTAGGGCAGTGATATGGGATTTTACCAGGGATGTTGGGAGAGGGTCCAGGGGACAGGTGGAGGATTTCATCTTCTTGATGATGTTCTGCACCTCTTCTGATGAAACCTCAGGACAGTAGTTTAGGTGTGGCCCTGATTCCAAACATAACTTAACATATTAACTTAATTAAACAACTTCCCTGTAGCCCCTCAAGGACTAAATGTATTTATCTAAATATAATAAGATCATTTGTTTGTTTAAGTTAGTAGAAAATCTAATTCTTCACTGTTCTAAAAGGATTCAATTTATTTTATTACAGGTATGTTTGAAACTACCAATGGAGTTCTTAGGGTAGGACGATTCCCCAAAATGTTTTAAGCTACTATGGTCGTAAATGATTTGAAAAGAAGGAGTTTGATTCCTGAGTGTATTTTATATTTTAGGTCAAATTGTTAGTTGGGCAGAAAAAAATCCCCAAATAATATGTTTTTATTAAGTAATTAAAAAGCAATTGGCTGAAGCAAATTAAACCAAATCCCTATGTTTCCATTTGCCAGGGGGGCCTTTTGGATACAATGAAGTGACCATGATTCCAGCCGGAGCGACTCATATCCGCGTCACCGATAACAGCAGGAATTATCTAGGTAAGAAGGAACAGCATATCTATGTCCCCTTCAGATGCAATAATACTTATTATTACCTCCTTTCCCCAGAGACTAGGGAGGGGATCGACAGTGCCTCCTGGTTTCTTTACCCAGCATCTTCTTTCCAAGTAATTTAATCACTAAGGTTATCTATTCTCATCCTGTGATGAGGCAGAAATAAAACAGACCCCAGAATGGCACATACTGTGGTTTGGAAAGGGATGCTCATAATGACAGGATCTGGTGGCATTGGGAGAGCAGATTAAAGCACTTGTTTCTACCTTATGTCATGGAAACTGCCCCACTGAGCTGCCTTATATAGGCACACTATTAGTAATGCCTTTGAATCTTCACATATAGTGTGAAAAGTCCAAACGTAAGATGTATTTTGACTCAGTTTTTCCAATTGTTCAATAACACAAAGCTTTTCCACCACTATCATAAATTTTCAGCGCTGCAGAATGGCAGAGCCCAGTTTGTGATCAATGGAAACTGGAAGATCAGTGTTCCTGGTGAGTACAGCATAGCTGGGACCAAGCTGCTGTACCGGCGCTCTGCAGACACCTGGGAGAGCTTTGAGGTTCCAGGACCAACCCAAGAAGACCTCCATCTAATGGTAAGAGGAAGCAAACTTCCTTTAGCAGATCGTTAATCAGAAAGCCTTGTTGCTTCAGTAGAACTTTTTTCTTTCAAGGTACTTTGTGGATTTCCCAAGTTCCCAAGAACTAAACTCCCTTTCCCAAAATACTTAAATCAAACGAATGGCTCCTTACTGAATCTCTGCAGAGCTGAAACATTGTCGTTAAGAAAAGTCATATGTGTTTAAGAAGAGATACATCCAGGACTAGGGTAACCCTGTTCTTTAATTTCCAGAAAAGATACAGTTTATTCAGATAGAGCAATGCAAATTTTAAAAGAGAAACATGCTCATTTATAAATTCAACTGTCACAGGATCTTTGCTTCAATGTTTTAAATACGCTGTGAAAAAAAATACGTTGTTTTCATTCCAAAGCAAGTAATTACTATGGGATGGGTAATAAATATAAAATGCCTCAAAATGGCATGATGTCAGTTTCTGAATTTGAACTTTAGCATCCCAGTTTCTGTCTTAAGGTTTTCTTATCATTACAGATAAATCATCATTTGACTGATAAGACGGGTTGTTTTTAGCACTGGCATTTGAGGACTTCAATTGTTTTCACTTGAAGATTATCAGAAAAAGATATAGTACGTCAGGGACTTTTTTTGATCGTTTTTTTTTCTTCCATTCTTTATTTGGGTTCAATACCCATTCAAGTCACACAATTTTTATTTTATCTATATATATTATCAATGATACAGTATTTCAGAACTAGTGCCTGCTAAAAACAATTATAGAAAATGAAGAATAGTAATATTTTTTATTTTCTCTTAGTGGGTAAAAACAGATCTACCAGCAGCGAAATGAATGACAGGAATCATGCAGTTTGATACAAAGGTAAAACCAATATAAGTCAACATAAATAATACTGCATAGCTATTTGAATTCAACGTTAATTGGGATGATAAATGAACATATAATGTTCTAGCGATAGTTTTCAACGGCTGGAGTAATGGATATACAGTAGCACCAACTTGTTGCTGAACCACAACAAAGAGCTGATTTTATCAGTGGGATAAAAGCAGGGCTTAAGGGCATTAAGAAGAATCTACTAGAGTGTGGAGAGCAGCATGTTTAAACTCTGAAGTTAGCATAAAGTTTAGTCTGCTTAATTCAGAAGAGAACAATGAAAATGCTGAGCTTTAACTTTAATAAGAAGAGAAATTAGCTCTGGAATAACATGAGCTCATCCTTTCCCATCTTCCTGCTTGTTTTTTTGCATGTTACCAGTTGAGCAGTGAATGATTGACTTTATAAATCTACATCCACTATAAATGTTCTCATTTCTGATTTTTTCAAACACTCTTTATTTTTTATCATAGCCTTAAATAGCCAACTGCTGTAAGTGCATTTAGCTCAAAACAGTAAGGGGAATCTCACATTTCTTATATATATTATCAGCGAAAATAAAGAGTCAGATATAAAAGGCTTTAAAAAAATAATGTTCATAAAATAGCATTTATAAACTGTACTGCAGATATTAAAAGGTATGTTTGCAGAGGTAATTAGATAAATACTTACTTTGGAGAAGAAAAAAACAATCATGTACATTTATGTCATTACAGAAACTCAGACTACATCAAAGCTACGATCAGGTTTACTGAAATAGATATTTTCTAAAAGCTAGTGTTGAGTCCTATGTTTTTGGAGGTGCAGGTAGTGGAGCATAGGGTAAGTTTAAACAAAATAAAAGAGCAGCCATCAAGGAAATTTACATATTAACAGTTGAATCCAGCAAAGAGCAATGAAAACCAGTAGATACTGTATGAATACAGAGACATGGTTGGAGAATGGAAAGACAAACAAACAAGAGCAACCTCTTTTTCCCACCAGCTTTTTTTATTTTCATTACACTTTCACTAGTACAGAGCAATGAAATGAAGTCTCTGCATATAACCCATTCCCTTGGGGAGCAGTGGGTGGCCATTGTGCGGTGCCCGGGGGGCAGTGTGGGGTTTAGGGTCTTTGCTCAGGGACCCAGAGTGGCAGTCTGTGGGAGAACCTCAGGATTTAAAGATCTATGCCCTCACCGCTAGGCTGCCACTCCCCCTATCAACCAGAGTAGGTGGGGAGAAAGCATGGCACCAGGAAAGCAGGAAAGCTGATGGAGAAAGAGTAATTGGCATGAAACAACACCTCCATCCCTTTACATGTTTTAGGCCCATCTGGAGACCTAGATGTACTGTATAATTGCAAAAATGTACTTGATCATTTGTTTTAAAAGAAGCAAGTAGTTATTTACCTTGATGGTTAACTGAAAGGTTGCCTAATTTATTGACTGACATATTGACATGCCTTCTTGGTTTGTTTGATTTTTATTTTTTATTTTTTCGGCTGTTGCACATCTTTCTGTCCTATGTTCAGGTTTTGTCGACAGACAAAAACTCGGGAATCGAGTACGAGTACTGGCTTCCACCTGACCAGTATGCCCTCTACCATGGGAGGAGGAGCCCTGTGCGGCAGGCTCACCAAACAGCCAGCTACTTCCCCAGAATCCAACCAACCACATCAACCACAACCTCTACCACTACTACCAAGGCACCTCCAAACACCACCCGGAGACCCCACTGGTGTAGGTATTTTCTCACCGCTTCTTTCAGAGTTTTATATAAATTACAGCTGCAACATAGGATTATTTAACACATTAATCTGTTGATTCATTTTTCAATTAATGATAAGATAACAAAAGGCTCTTTAAAGACTTCATACAAAATTCAAAACAGGCGATGCTAAAACTGCACCTTAAAGGGTTCTTGAAAAAGCCCTTTTGCAGACAAATAGGGTTTATCATCTTAAATGCAAAATGTTTATATATTTCTTTTACTAATTCTGCATAACCACTGCTCTGGAGGTGGCTGTTTTCTTAGCTAATGGCATAGGTCTGTATGGTCTAATTAATAATTAATCAATTACTAAATTACTTAATTATTTCAATAACTGATTAACCCGATTCAACCTACGAGGTGTTTCAGCACTATTTTGAACTCTTTTGACTTTGAACCCGATTAGGCCTGGATACTCTTCAAGCCTTGAGAGCTTTTCAACAATATTTCTTTAGAAAAATTTTATAAATTTTAAAAGCTGTTTAGAAGTAAAATAAAGCAAATAGGAATATCTCAAGAAACGAGAAACTAAGACCAGTTCCTCTAAATGACCATGAGATGCCGTTTTACAATAAATTGAACTCTCTCAACATCTCAGAAAGTGATTACTGACGGTTTCTAATTAATTTATGTACAAAATTTAAAATATGTCTTCAGATGTGTTATACATGGCTACTCAGGTGTGTTTAATCTTAAGGAATACAATGTACAACAAAATATAGAAGGCATTTTGTGGACAATGTGTCTTTTTTGATGTGTTTTGTATTTATGTTACGGGAGTATTGTACAGAGAAGATGGCTGCCTACTAGGTAAGTTTTGGTATTAAAGGAAATTATGTTATAAATCAAGACTGCATCTGGAATAAAACTAGACAGGTGATAGTAAAACTGTGTTTGTACAACTTTTAACGATTTACATTATCTGTGTATGGGTGTATAGTTACATCAGTGGAGTTGTATGTCTACAACATCTATCCACAGGGCTTTTTACGGTTATTTGTACCCTTAAGATTTATTTATAATGATTTAATGAGATAACCCTGCATAAAATAGTTATAATGTAATTAAAGTTAAGAGATATAAAGTTTTCAAATATTTTTTTTTTACCAATCAAAATCAGAAAGGTTTAGCAATATGTTTTTGGTCTACATTTCAAGCTTTATTTGAACTGGCAAAAGCACATCAACATGAGCACACTATTCCCTAGGGTTAGCATGGGAGTGGAAGAATCATACTATGGGAAGGCATTTTTTCAACAAAAAATGTAAACCTGGTCAGTTCATGGGAAATAGAGTGAGCTAAATACAGAGCAACCCCAAAACAAAAACCATGTATAAGCTATAAATAAGTAGTGATGGAAGGGCAGGTTTAACGTACAACTAGAGCTACTATAGGATGGCTAAGAGCAAAACACATTCATGTGTCAAACTGGCCAGATTTAATTCAGTCCATTGCAATCCCTGGAAAATAAAAGCCCTAGATACCAATCCATCCATATCTACTGCTCTTAAGTAATTTGTAGTTATGTGTGAAAATGTTGCAAACATTCTCCAAAGGATTAAAAGCTGTATTTCGAACAAAATATGTTATGCAGGGTTGGATAAGCCACAGGTCCCAGGTGGGCAGCTATTTTTAAGAGGAAACCACTAATCCAAGATTAGATTGGTACAAATTATTGCAATTGAACAAGTTAGACAGCCTATTTGGGTACATTGAGTGAAAACATCTGTAGTGTGTGCGTGATCCCTCTTTACCCAACTGTGGATCTGCATGCTGACCTCCCTGATGCTGCAGCGGAGGAATGCAGCTGCTTAATCTACCTGATAAGTTTGGAATATAAATGTGCTGAATCCTTATTCTCCCCCTCAATGTCCCTCAATTAGCCACCTGGAAGTCTGAACTCAGTCCAAGGAATTGAGCCCATGGTGGGATTCCATCCAATGTTGCAGTGAAACTAAGTAGCCTCTTTGAAAATCCTTTCCAGCTGGTGGATCACAGGCAAACTGAACTGATCTCTAATTGTTGGCAGGTTTTCTGGCAACCATTGAAATCAGACCAGTAGGCAGCGAATGGGTTCAGGTTATAATTTATAATTTTGGATAAGGAGGTAGTGAGGTCACCTTAACCTGTAAATCTGAGATCTGTTCATGGTGTTTATAATCAGGATGCTCCCAGCATGGCAACACCACATTTTAATACTAATCTTTACATCTTAAAATCAATCAACAGTAATCGTTTTTGACTTTAAAGCTTTCCGAAATGCTCCCAGGTCTTCTAGAATAATATCTCTCTTTTGGTCTTTACTCCTTTACTGAAAAAAACATCTGCAGGGAAAATCTTTAAGGTTTATTAAAAAGGGTCAGGGCAAATATCCACAGGAGAATGCCCAGGCCGATAAGCTTTAAACATCAGACTTAAAGCAGGAAGGTCTAGTTTTTCAGCATGTGTTTTGAAACATGACATCTGGACACAGAACATCAGGAACCAGGTTACGAAAAAAAGGTTTGACTGTAGTCTTTTGACTGCAATAACTTAACCATTATTTCAGGAAAGTCAACATATTTTTGTCCATTGTTCTAAAATTATAAAATTGTATTTATTAGTGATTAGTTTGTTCTTTATTAACCATCTTAAACTAAAACTGGTTTTATAACTGTGCCGAATTTATTTTTAGAACACAAACCAGACACAGGACCTTAGCAATTAGCTTTCTTACAGCCTTGAACTCATGGTTTATATCTAACACAGTGGCTCATTGGATAAAGTATTACTATCTCGTGATTTTATTCTTATTTTATCCTTTAAGCACTTCATAATTTAATGCCTTTTATTGTGTTCATTTTGATATAGCAAAACAATTAAAAAAGGGAAACTGAGGGATGTTAAGGAGATAAAAAAATTTTGTTAGCCAGATTTATTTTATTCTTATTGTAGAAAATGCTGTTGTTGAAACTGAAAATTACAAACATTTTTCCAATCCACAATTTTGCCTATGTTTTGGTTCTCTGTTGCATCCAATTTCAATAAGATATATTAAAGTCTGGGATTGTAATGTGAGAAAGTCTAAAAAAGTTCAACACTGTTGTCATGGTCTTTAGTTTGCAAAATCTTAACAAATAAGTAAATAAAGGGAAATTATTTTATCATTAAAAGAAAAAAAAACTAAAATTAGTTATCAAACATAAAATTAAATCCTTAAACAACTTAAAAACACGAGCATGAGAGAGAAAGGAGAAGAAACAGGATCAAACATAATAAAAATCTGTCAGAGTAGAATGCAAATGTCTTAATGTTTGATCGTTGAGGTTGTTAGAAACAAAAAAACAGCTGAGATCTGAGAACAGAAAACAATAGGAGAAATAAACAAAGTTAAAGCCAGACCTGTCAAAAATCAGCATTAAATGATAAATTTTGCACTTTCAAACTCTGAAAACCTTCTAAAGACGAGAAGGTGATATCTAAGCCAGAGGCTAGATGCTAGAAGTAAGGTCCAAGAAAGTAGCGAAGACACAGCTAGCTTTTTCTCTAAACTTCCTTTACGGTTTTATTTAAAAAAAAAAAAAGTCTTTAGGTTTATATCAGAGCTGGTTAACCTTTTCCAGTTTAGGCTTGTGAAGCTGATTTTAATGCCTTTTAGCAGTGGCGCCAGTCTGCTTTTAGTCGCACAAAATGAAGGGAGATGGTTTTGATTAAGGCAGCTGCTCTGTGTGACTGAGTCCAGGAAATAATCCTTAAAGATTCTGTATCTTTTAGGACAAAAAAGTAATTTTTTTCTGTTTTTCTCTATTTACACTCATATGATGAGACAAAAAAGGATGTCATGCCTATAAATAGTTTTTCTCCAAGAAATTCTGAAATGTGTCCAAAACTACAATAGTTTTTCATTTATAAAATAAGAATCCAGGAGTTGTTTTGTCTCTGCCTGTCAATCAAAAACATTGTCTAACCCTAAATACACTTTAATCAAACTCAGCTACAACTAGATAAATAAATTCATATTTATATTTTCCTAATACCATGACTGTCGTCCCACTGTGTACCATTGAGTAGACTATTAACCTTCCATCTTTCCATCCAGGAAACATACGAAAAATGAAATGTACTTTATCAAGGACTCAAAAGCACTTTATAATACATTCAGTCACTCATGTACTGATGGTAGCAAGCTACATTGTAGCCATAGCTGTCCTTAGGCTGACAGAAGCAAGGTCGCCATACATCGCCTCCAACAGTCACTCTGAACACCAAGGGCAGGCAATGGGGGTGAAGAAGACAATGATGGAGACTGACAGAGCAGGGACTTGAACCGGCAACCAACTAGTTAAATGATGAATCCTAACCTCCTGAGCCCTGGTTCACCATCCCTGTTCGCCCTTAGACCGCATGACAGATTCCAATGTAATATTCTAGAGGGAGAAGCTGTGGCTTAGTGGAAATAATTGTAATTTTTTATCTTAAAATTGTGGTTTTGGTTCCTCCTGCCCAATTCTGATCCACCTCGGGCAAGCTGCTTAAGTTTCCTAGTAATCTCTCATAATCTATGATCCATTCACAAGTGTGATTGGGTGAATGTTGCTAGTGTTTTTTATTGTCCCTCAGTGCTAGAATATGTATAGTCTAGTGAAAAGGATTGAAAGGAGTGCTGTATAAATTCTGTCCATTTCTTGTTGAATAAAATACTACATGATGTATTGAAATTACTTTAAAAACTGCACTCCAGAGTCACATTTTACATATAACTTTTTGTTTTCTGTGTTCCAGTTCTGAATTATTTGAAGCCTTCCCATCAGCCTTTTCCCAATAACCACCAGCATCATCCTCGTCAGCCCATCACTCGTCTGGAGCGGGAGGAAAACCACAGAAACCTCCTTCCTCAGGCCCCACCTAGAAGTATGTACAGCATTTCTACTGTTCCTAATGATTTACAGGCCTGTGCACCTTTCAAGATGCAATGCTCTTTAAGATTATTGCATTTGTTGGAAAAGGATTGCAGAAGCTACTAGAATAGTGTTTAGATCCATCCTGAATTCAATTCAGTTCAAATTCAATTCAAAATACTTTATTAATCCCAAAGGGAAGTTAAATGTTGCAGTAAACCATAGGTGTTTTTTCCCATCAGTTTTCGGCGTTGATAGCTTTAGCCAGGAAGGATCTTCTGTATTGTTCTGTTTTGCACCGGATCTGGAGAAGCCTCTTACTGCAGAAACATCCTTGTTTGTTTAAAAAACGTCCTTAGATGATGCTCACTGTTTTTCATAATATTCTTCTCTTTATGAAGAATTCGTCTTTGTGAAATAATCTCCATAGGTTCTAGAGGAGTTCCTAGAACAGAGAAAGTGTTCTTTATTAGTTTGTTGGGTTTTTTAAGGTAATTTGCTCTAATATTGTTACCCCAGCAGATGGCGGAGGAAGAGATCACACTCTTTACAACAGACTAGAAGATATGTAGCATCTTGTTGCAAACACCAAAGGACCTAAGCTTCCTTAGAAAGTACAGTCTAGTTTGTTGTCCAGGTGGACACCAAGGTATTTATACTGCTCCACCACCTCCACTTCTTCTCCCATGGTGTTAACAGGAATTACCTGGTTCGTGTTTCTTCTGAAATCTACAGTCATTTCCCTTGTTTTGTTGACAATCAGGATCAGATGATTTTTTTAAATCGTCATACGACAAAGCGGTTCATCAGCTCCTTGTAATTAGTTTCTTGTCCATCTTGGATGCATCCAATGAGTGTACAGTCATCAGAGTATTTTTGCAGGTATCAGTACTCTGTCTGGTACTGAAAGTCAGAGATGTACTGAGTAAAAAGGAATGGTGAGAGTACTGTCCCCTGTTCAACTGTTGATGCCTCGACCCGAGTCTCCTGAATCTTCCCACAAATTATGTTGGGTTGGATTGAGTTAAATGCATTAGAGAAATCAAAGAACATGATTATCACAGTTCTGTCTGCCTTGTCTAAATGACAGTGGGTTTGTTGAAGCAGGTTTATGATGGTATCTTCAACTCCACCTCTACAGCAATAAGCAAACTGCAGGTGGCTGACACAGTTCATCCCAGTCTTTAGCCTCAAAAATATCCTACAGCTTCCTGTTACCATCTTCTTACAGTTCTTTTTAATGCTGGTCGTCTCTTGTAAAGTGACTTATGCTCTGAGCAGAGAAAAACAAGATTGTGATTCAATTCATTTCAAAAATACTTCACCCCTTAGGAAAATTTAATTATCCGATTTCTCAAGAGGAGGTCTTAATTCAGGGATGTAGGAGTTTGTTTTCTCTTGTGCAGCAGCTGACAAACTGTTGGAACAATGGCAGTGTATCAGAGAGTGAGGTGTGAATAAAATCAACAGTTATTGCCCCAAATGCATTTGGCTCTTATGTCTAAAGCTTAACAACAATGAAACTGATTACCTCTCATGCAGTGTCAGCAACGACAGAAGGTTGAATATAAATGTTTAGTAATAGAACATTGGTGAACTCTTGGGCAAATAATATGGCGGAAAATCAACTGTCAACAGCACAATATCTCAGCTGCAGCGAGGAATCTTCCCAGTACCGTGGGCTGGATGATACCATCTGTTGTTCACATGCACTGCCAAACCAGCTACTTTGAATATACCAGTCTTTTTGAAATCTTTTTCAGAATAATGGTCAGAAATCTGTCAGAGAAACACTGCAGTCTGAGATATGATCCTACAGCCACATTTCAGTAAAACGCATAATGCTGCATTACCTATATTCTGACTGGTCCTAGCTAGGGCATGGTGTTCTTCTAACTTGTTTCTAAAGATCATAGATTGCCCATAATGATTGATGTAATATATGGCTAAGTTTTTTGTTCCTCTCTCATTTGCTTTATCCTGCATGCATCCTTGGTGCCTCCTTTTCAACTCAGATGGTACTTGCGGAAGTAGCTAATGTATTATTTCAGCTTTAGAGATTTAATTAACTGCCCCCGGATGTAAAAAAAAATCTACTTGCTATGGATGTTGCAGTTACTTATCATAACAAGTAGCCATTAGTTGTTCCTTCCATTTGCACAAAAAGTATGCAGAGCTACTCCAACATGAAGCCACCTTAAGCAGCACAATTGAGAACTGATGTCACATCTGGAATGGATGCCATATTAGAAAAGTTTGAATGGAATAGATCCATAGCTTCTTTTTGTTGAAACTTTTGTCTAACAATGTTAGGCACTAGACAAGGTCTAGAGAATAGCTTTGATGGTATTTTCCCATTAACATAATAATGTTGAAATTCTTGTTTGATTCCTTAGAGCATTGTGGAAAATGTCGGAGAGTGAAAGGAAGAGGGGAACGCCAGAGACAGTACTGCCAAAAGGACTTTGGTAAGGACTTGTCAAGGTAGAGTTTGGTTTAATTTTAGTAGGATTTTGTGGAGCAGACACTATCCTACAAGAAGTAAACTGCCATAAGAGTGAAATCAGTGACAGTTTTTCTCAGTTGCATTCGTACATTTTTTTAAAATCCAGTTGTTGGGTAACAAAACACTTTCCTGATTAGACATACTTTTGGTTCTCTGATGTGGGATTTAATCTAAATAGCTGAATGTGACTTTGCCTTTACAAGTTACTCCATGACTTCTAAATCTACTGGTCCAGAGGGGTCAGCTATCAGATTCCAAAACACAAAGGCAGACAGTTTAATTTTGCGTCAGTGCAGCCTTACTAGTTGCCCACAGGGGGCTAAACTGAGCTGTTTCTGGCTAGAAGTTACACAGCCTTGTTTTAAATGGTTTCACCAGCATTCAGAAATGAATTACGTAATGTCTGGTTTATATTGAAAGATGTTTTAATTCTCAGGTAATTTTCCAACCTAAGAGACTCTGTACATGATGATGAAAAATAGTGGATAGTGACCCAATTCATCACCAAAATGTCATCCTTTGTTGCCAGTCTTGATATGCATATTTCCTAAGAAATTCAACAAAATCCATCCATAACATTTTTTTAGTTACTTTAACAACAGGCAGAGAGTCAAACCAATGCAGATGAAAACCTAACCCCCCGAGAAATAAACAATATTTTTTGTCGACTAATTGTAACAGAGAAGAATCTTAATGAAAAAAAAACTATTGGCTAAACAAGTGGAGATCGAGCAATCTAGAGCTCAACATTTTATACTGCCGAGTTGTTGAGTTTCTTTTTCTCAGGAAACTATTTTATTGGCTACGTCTAACATTTAATAGGTTTCATCCTTGCACTCAGGGACCCCAAGGACATTTCCAAGACGGTCCAACTTGTCGGATTTTCCCAATTTGTGATTTGATTGGTTGGGACGTCCCTCCAAGCAGACAAGATCACCGTTAACACATCAGGATTATCTAATTAAATTATCTTAAGGGCCATCAGGGAAGGATCAAGGGAAAAAATCGGCATTATCATCTGGCCTGGTAAACCAGGCTTAAGTCTTGAAATGCCAAGTGGTTGAAGAATTATTCTTATTTCTATACATTGCTGTTATGCTTTTTTTTTTCTTTTTTTTTTTCAAAAAACTGTACCACACAGTTGCCGAATTATTTAGACAATGTCAGTTTCCATAACTACAGCATTGTCAGTCAAAGGTTTTTTAAACAGGAAGCTGATAGTTCCTCCC